AATAATTAGATATGTTTAAAAATATTAATTCTTGTATAATTCATGCAGATGTCTTTAGAATACGTTATCTATCCAGAACAATGGTTTTCTGCTACCATCGTTCAATATCGAAATCATGAATACGTTAAAAATTTTGTATAATTCATAGATGCAAATCAACAATGTTCTTTGATGTGTAGTAATTTTTATGGATTTATTTATGGAGTTATTTTCAAAAGAAAAGAAGAACAATTTATTAGTAAGTTGATACACGAATTTATAATAAGACTTGTATATTGTGGCAAAAATAATGAACTTTGGGTACGGTTAGATGACTATCTTGTTAGGTTCGGCATGCAAGAATTTTTCCTCATTACTAGACTACCTTATCATGAACCATCCATAGAAATTGATTATAATAACGATCGTCTTAGAAATCAATACTTCAATGACATAAAAAAAAATAGCAATAGAATACTTTTTGAAACTTTCCACATGTGTGAAGATGAAGAAGATAAATTTAAACTGAGATTAGTTATGTTGGTTGAGTATGTGTTGAAACCGACTTCAAGATAAATTGATTATAGAACTCTGGACATGGTTGAACATCTTGATGAGTTACTTACGTATCCATGGGGCCCGATATCATATTTCGTTTTGTTAAATTCATAGAAAGAGTCACAATTGGAAAGAATACTAAGGACGCAACAGAACCAACGAACAGAATGTAAGTATGCACTACAAGGTTATCCACTCGCATTTCAGGTATTCTGTTCCTTTTCTAATTACTGACGTATTATGTATAATTTTTTTGTACAAAGAATAAATTATATACATCACATTTCTCTTTCATTACGTTGCAGTATTGGATATATGAAACATTTCCACAGATTGGACAAAAGTTTGGTCGCCGTAAATACAAAACGGTGCAGATTCCTCGAATCTATAATTGAAGGCCTAATACTATACTGAAGGAATCGATTGTTAAGGAATTTTTGGATACTGAAGATGTATGAATTTTTTATTTTCAATGTAGAATGACATTCACATTTAATTATTAACAAGTTCAATTAAATAAATGGATTTTGATAGTTTGTTATGATTACAGATTGAAGTCATTGTAGTGCTGCAGCCTACGGAACAAGAATTACAAACACCCTGGTACACAAGTCTTTCACTGTCAGCTGACAATGAACATAGTATATTAGATGTCATTGTCAATGGAGAAGTAGATAATGTAATACAACCAATACCGGATAACATCCGTGTACAAGAAACGACCAGTCGTGGTACATCGAGAACTTCAACTGGAGTTGGGCCTAGTTCTGCTTCTGGTGTCTCCAGATATGTAATTGAAGACTGAATGGAAGAAATGTTGGGTATATACAGGCAGCATACGATATGAGATGTGTCCAGTCTATGTGGCAACTTGAAGGTAGAATTTGTTGAAAAATCAAGAGCCCTAAACCATGCTATCCTTGAAAGCCAAAAGCAACTGTTCGAACAACATAACAAATCGTTGTAAGATTACATGCAATGTGGTATGCAGTCATACATAGATAATTCTCTATCAAATATGTTTAACACTCATATTGCTCAGGAATCGCAACAACAAGAAGCCCATTATCAGGCGATTCTCCAAAAGCAAGAACAATTATTCCAACAGCAACAAGAGCACATGCAGTCTTATGTTGATACAAGTTTATGTTCTATCAGATCTTTCATTGATGAAAAGAATGAGAATATGCTAAACAGATTATCTAACTGAGAATCCAACATGGAAGCTATTATAGGTTCCATGCAGCAGGATGTTCCTCTTCATGCAAGTCCAAATCCTACTGATCAACCTCATGAGACATCAACACCTCAACCAATAGAAAGTGTTGACATGTGGAGAAGAGAAAGGGAAAAGAAGATGAGATACACACAGTTTTCTTCATTCACAGGCAGTCCCTTAGAAGACTACGACATGAAAAAATACAAAAACAATAGAAATTGGATATCGAGAAATCAATCTAGGTAACAAATTTAACTCATTCTGAGTAGTCCGAATGCTGAACATTATTATATCAATGTCAAAAATTCTCTGTTGATTTATTCGACAGTAATTTAAATTATGTTATACATTGCATATTTGGACGATGACCGTGGCAATGTCTATGGAAGAAACATGTTGAGAACTTTAATGGATCCGACGAAGGATCTTAATATTGTGGTAAGTGAAGGTTAGCAGTCACAATCAATTTGATTTCATAGTTAATATGTCTAACATATGTTATATGTATTTATTTAATTAGCATATTGAGCTTAAGCTGAAATTATTGAGGCATCGTATTAATGAAGGTTGTACTCTCGTCAATAAACAATATGTAATTTTGGACTTTCAATTTGAAAATGAGTGTTCTCAGCAAATGAGGTGGCAAATGGAATTTCGAATGGGAAACCAGAGAGGTCAATCGGATGGAACTCGCCTAGAAGACTACGTCAACGGTAGATTGCCCGTAGCTGGTCGTCCGTGGATGGGATGCAAGTATTTAATAATTTCAAGCTCATATCCAGGTAATGAATGTTATCTGTTTCTGGTCAATATTCCTAAATGGAAATTTCACATATACGACTGCAGCAATAATGTTCACACACCAGATGCAATTAAGGTACACGCAGAAGCAACATTCACACTCGTTCAAAGATTATTGTAGTGTCCACTTCTGTCCACCAGACGAGATATAAATAAACATAGAAATGAACGAATGAAGCTGGAGATTATACCTTATCTACCATGTACAAACAATGGATGAGTATTTCAACTCTTGTTATTTACTATAGTAGTTAATTTATCGTATATACTAATTTCGACTAACGAAAAATCATTTCTTGTACAGGCGAAATTGCATAATGTTTGTACTCAAATATATAGAATGCTTCGTTCTAGGGCATCCAATAGAATCAGTTTCAGTAGAGAGGATGTCACTATACAGACGAAAGATTGCGGTCGATCTTTGTCATAACGAATAATTTCTTCATCCCCGATAATGAAAAAGTTGTAGTAGCTTAGCTGTACTTTGCTTGTGTGACTGTTGATGATCAGCCGATTCATGATAGCATCGTTCGCAATATGTATTTTGCTTTATGTGGTGGTACGTAACATGTATTTTGGTTTATGTGGTGGTACGTAATATATATTTTGGTTTACACAATGGTTTACATATTTTGGTTTATATGATGGTATGTAATATGTTCTCAAACTGTCATTCTAGACAAATGAAATATCAAGCGTCGAGATTCACAGCTATCTAATGTCAAGAAAGACATATCAAATGTCAGAAAATCGTTGAAATGTAGAGAAATCTCCTCTTTTGGTCTAAGTGTCGTTCTAGAAAACTGTAATGTCAAGTGTCGAGATTAACAGCTATTTAATGTCGATAACGATGTTCCAAATGGTGAGAACGGCATCAAATGTCAAGATAAATATGATCTAACCAATTTTAATGAAGAGTGAAGGCAACGAATTGGAATATTAACTGTAAAAACTGTAGCAAGTAGGTTTATAATTACTATAACAATTAAAGTTGGTATGCCAAGCACACGTACATTCTCAACCTTATTGATGTGAAAAAAGCTATAAAATAATCATCATGAATAACTTCAACTATATTGGTTGGTGAGATATCTTCTCATGCATTCAACAGACAAGTGTTTCTCCACTATAAAATGCTTGACTTTACTTGAATATGCACAGATGAGAATTTAACGAATTCATAGCACTAGTTAGTTTTTCGATTGATTATGTCTTTATCAACTCAACATACTCCTTTTATTGATGTTATTATCACTTTTGACCTCGTCGGGTTGTCCGATCATCATAGACTCGGACTCGGATGATGAAAGCAATGTTTTTGTTCCATATGTTCGTCAACCTTCGAATGGCCATCGTAGAGTTTGCCTTCAACCCATTCCTTTTCCGAATCTAATCGACGAAATTGAACCAATTCAAGTATATCGTGAGATCGTCCCAGTTAAGGTCCAATCGGAAGTACATCATGTGTTGTTGGATGAAAATGTTGGAGCAGTTCCCGTCGAAAATGAAGATGTGATCATCATAAGCTCTGACAAGGAGTATCACGGTGATATGTCCTCTTTGTCCGTGGTGGAGGATATGTAGAAGATGCAATCATCGTAAGTGAAATGTTTACGTACATATACTAGTGCTATAAAATCCATATAAGTGATGGATTTTTTTTAGGTGATCACCATTTTGTATAATAGTTGTCTACAACATGCATTGGAGTTATGATTTCATTTTGTTGTGATTACCATTTTGTCTACTCCAATGACTTAGGAGAACGAGTCATTCATGAGTTTCTTTTGTATTCATTACCACATTATATTTACAATGACTAAGAAAATCCTAGTGATGAATTAGATATATGATTGTTCACTTATATGATGAACGAAATGATATCATAATGAAATGCTCATAAGAATATATGTGATCACCATTTCCCTTGTTTGTAGTTATACCCGAAACCTGAGCTTTCTTGTTTGTATCCATTACGACATTCTAAAATTAAATGTTGTTTGTATTTAGTGAAATGCTCATACGAATTTTCCTGTTCGTGCGCTATAAAATTTTGAACGACAAGGATAATATAAGAAAAAAATCACAAAAAAGGGGATGAATCCATATAAAGGATTCAAAATGTATTACAAACTTAATTTTAGAATAAGCAATTGCAAATAAGTGCTATGAAGAGAGAATGAAAAAAGAAACAGGAAGAAGTAAAAGTCAAAAATATATTCAACAACATTCAAAATATGAGATGAACAACTAAGATAGAAAACAAGTAATACAAAAAAATATATTCAAAACATTGATAATCCATGTTATCAGGGCATTTGACGATCGGAATACACAGTGTCATTCAAGTATACGTGTCACTTAAAGTGTCGAATTCTGACATGTTTGCCTGTTATGTCCAAAACCCCCACATCGATCAGATTTTCGTGTCAAAGTCGACCTTTCAGTTCTTGACCGTTGACGTTGGGTAGGAGGTTGACCTAGTTCTACGTATATTCGGGGGCAAAACTTTGACATAACGAATAGACTGAGGAACAATCCAATCTGACTCTCGGCCGACGGGGTGAAAAACTTCATTGTACGCAGCTCGCCAACATTCTGTGGTGTAGTAAGGGGAGCACAAATCATACAATGATTTTTCTTTTGCGCAAGCAGCTCGAGATGCATGTGAACATGGGATTTGTCGTATCTGAAACTCTCGACATGAACATGTGTTACCTATAAAGTCGATAGTACAAAGTTTGGTAGCTATACCTACCTCAAAAACGAATTCGTCCAAATTTCGTACTGGTAAAGTTGCACTGGCATCCAATGATTTTCTCAATTCATCATCAATTTTTGGTGTCACAGTCGTACTACATTTCGTGGATGCACTTTTCCTCTCGTAGAACCATCGTTGCATCAATGACGTAATATTTTCGACCAACGAGGTTATAGGGAAACTTCATTGTCGCCTTAGGACTGAATTCAGTGACTCCGCAATGTTATTCGTCATAACGTTGTACCGTTTACCAACAAAATTTGACCGTGACCAGGTGGATATACCGGCACATTCCAAGTAAGATGTCATTGACGGTCGAATGGTTCTTATATGTGTCATGAACTGATCAAATTTCGATACGCGGTATGCTAGCGTTGCCCGCTTGAACAAGAATATGACATTGCTACTGCTATACTTAGTAATAAGATTTTTCTCAATATGCCAGATGCAGACATCGTGGTAAGTAAGTGGGAACAACCTCGTAATTGTCCGCTTAATACTCTTCTTCCTGTCCGACATAAACACTAGCTAGTTTAAATCATCAACGACATCTTTCAACTTCGCAAAGAACCAATATCACGATGCATTTGTTTTCCCATCGACAACACTCCAAGCTAGATGATATATTTGTAGGTTAGCATCTTGCGTTGCAGCTACTAGTAGTGTTCCTTTATATTGACCCTTCAAATGACTTCCATCAACACAAATTACTGGCCTCATGTACTCTCGAAAACCACGTATACTAGGCCCGAACGCTAAGAAGAAGTAAAAAAACCTATTATTCGAGTCGAGTTCAATGTCTGTAATAGTTCTTGGATTTTTCTCGATTAACACGTGACAATATGATGGCAATTCCTAAAAACTTTCTTCGGGTGTACCACGAAGAAATCGAAGTCCCTTCTCTTTAGCCCTCCACGCTTTGTTGTAGGTAATTCGTACACCAAACTCACATTCCATATCTCCAATAATACCCCTAAGAACGTATGATTGGTTTGCATCGTCCAACCTTCGCATTATGTGCTGCCCAATTACTGTACTCGTTATGTGAATTTGTGCATTTCGTCGAACGTCTAGAGAACATGTGTGCTCAGGTATGTATTCTCGAATCTTAACTATTTCTGAAGTTTTTATCTTAGAAGCTCGCACTTGGCAATGACATGTAGTATCAACACAACACACAATAAGAGATCTAGGATTCGACTTTTTAACCTTGAAATGAAACTTCCGTTTCAAAGCCTTAAGTTGAAGCATTGTGTGTAACTGTTGCTTGCTAAAGAATATCTGATCTCCACAATGTCCTCTTCATCAATCGACTCAATTGCATTTTGAATAAACAAATTCCCTTCACCTAAGCCTTCATCTGTGTTATCAACCGTTCGCGGCTCTTGTAGTTCGGACATACCGACTTTGTCGTGTCCACACAATGCATCTTCTATTGGTGACAAAGGCTCAACTCCGACATGTAGTTCATGCTCTCCAGCATTATATTCATCTGCAATTACACACAACGCCACTTCTGTCTAAACAGATATAAACCATTGCAAATCATCATCGTCGGCTACATCAGCAGGGGGTATATTCATGTTCGGAACTGTAAATTTCAATTGAATTCGGAACTTCATTCTGTCAACATTCAGTTTCTCGAATAATTTATGTACAAACTCTTCATATGTAATATCATGTCGAACAACAACTGATGTTGTTCCGTTTCCTAACCACTTTCACCCGTCGTCCATGTTGATGAATTTACCACCATACGAGACAAGAAATCTCTTAATATCTCCCATAACTGCATGTCATAAACAACAATATGTCAACCACTAACGAAAATCAAAAACGAAGATGCTACCTGCATGCAATATGTGAAACGCTATACACGAAATTTTCCCAACTTAGTCAAGTTTTTAATATTAGTGTCAACATTTGACAGTATCGAGAATGATAGTATAAATATCATTCTTGACGTTTATAAATGTCGTGAATGACATTTATACTATCATTATCGACATTTATAAAATGTCAAGAATGAAATGACGGAATTTCATGCATTTATCATCTTCTTCAACTCAACCACAATTTTTGCAAGTATTTATTCCATCATAAATGATATTCTAAATACAGAAATATATTATCTAACTAACTTACTTAAGATGAATGGTACAACAAATATATACTTGGTGTTTGGATAATTTCGTCCATTGAAGGGAAAAAATACCTTATCAAAAAATTGAGATTTGAACATACATAACAACAACTACTAAATGCAACTTATAAAAAAATGAAATTTCAAAGAAATAGAGTTCAAAGAAACATACCTTCGACCGAGAAATGATGAGAGCCTAATCAGCTTCAAATTTCGACGACAATAAATTTCTTCACATGAAATAAAATGATTTCTTTGGAGTTGAAATCATATACTTCTTTGTATGTGTTAATGGAATTTCTGCTTCTTCTTCATTTGTTCTAGAATAATTGATTAAAATCTAATTAAAAACGTAGGCAAGTGGATTCACCTAGGTAATAGCAATATTATTGTGACTTCTCATAGAAGCTATTTGCTCTTCTAAAAAATTGTGCCAAATTAATATAAAATTGATTAATCTTTTCATGAGGGTAAAGTAGACAATTCGATATAGAAATTGGACACTTTTGCAAGGATTATCAAAATAGGACACTTTTCAACTCACACTCCTAAAATTGGACATTCTTGAAAATGCCTCTTCATTTATATGTTGGATGGGCAACTAATTTGACTGGAGTGAAATTTCTTGATGCCTGATAAGCAATATTATGGGGGTGTTTGAAAGACATTTTTATGTAAAAATGTATTTTTGAATAGTAAATTGATGGAAAATGTGTGGTTGAAAAATAAGATTTTTTTTTATTTATATGTAATATTATTTTAATAAAGAATGTATGATTGAAAAGAAGAGAGAGAAAAATACATTTTGAAAAAAATGGATACCAAATGGGGCCTATATATTATTACAAAATATACTTTGGTATCGATTAAAATCTAGATTTTAATTTAAATTGAAGTCGAGAATTTATTTTAACATTTATTTTATGTGTCTTGCAACTTTTCAATCATATATTTCATTAGTTTCTATCAAAATTTACTAAAAAATTAATTTTAATTTCAAGGGGTCTTAAAAAGATGAAGAAAGGCTCAAAATGAAAAGGATGAAAGATATGATACAAAAATGTACAACCCCATATCTGCAAAGCTATAATAACTAATAAGTCTAATCCCTTTTCTTGTAAATATTTTGTCCTAATTAATTGAAATATAAGAGAGAGAGAGAGAGAGAGAGAGAGAGAGAGGGGGAAGGGGGGACACACACACAAAAATTTGGGAAAAATTTATATTTGGTCTCCAACCTATTAAACTAATATCAAGTTGGACCTAAACATTTGAAAACAAACAAATTAGACACTAAAGCCATGTTCTTTTTGTATTTTGGTTTTGTATTTTTGAGTTTTGAATTCAATTTGAATTTTGTGTTTTAAGTGTTTGTTTTGAAATTGTTGAAAATACATTCTTCTTGTCATTCTACAAAATTGTTTCTCAAAACACAAAAATGAAAAAAACATTTTCTTTGAAATTTTGAGAATGTCACCACCACCACGTCACCACTGCCAACCAAAATCATCACCACCATGAACCATGAACCATTGCTACCATCACCACCACCATCAACCACTGCTTAAACCAACTCCACCACAAAGAGCCATCAACCAAAATCAACCACCGCCACCGCCAAAATCAACACCCCACCACCACCATTAACCATCAATCATTGCCACCGCCATCACTACCATGAACCATCAACCATTGCCACCACCATAAACCATCAACATCACCACCACCACCACCACCACCACCACCATGAATCATCAACCAAAATAATCACTGCCACCTCCAAAATCAACACCACCATGAACCATCAACCATTGCCACCGTCATCACCATCAACCACTGCTAAAATCTACCAAAATCAACAACATGTAATGGTTGGAGTAGAGAAGGGAGAAACGCAGAAAACGAAGAAGAAATGGGAGAAACTCAAAAACAAAAATCAACATCCAAATCAACACCACCACAACCACAATCAATCATACCACCACCAAATCAAGCAAAATCAACATGCGAACTTCATTTCCCCAAACCGCAGTCGGCGTTCGAAGGGAGAGGAGATGGAGACGGGCAAACGAATTCAACAACAGTGTCGCCTCCCCACGTTGGCGCCGGCATCGGCACTCACCTTCGTTGCCTTCCCCCAAAGCGCAGCCAACGTGGAAGAGAGAGGAGATGGAGATAAGCAAATAAATCTGTCGCGACACTGCTGTTTACAATAACATCGACTCTCCACGCCGACGCGGGCATTGGCACTCACCTTTGTCGCCTCCCAACGCGAAGCTGACGACCAAAAAAAAGGGAGAAAGAGATGGTTGAAGGAAGAGAAAAGGGATACGGTTTAATGGGCTTCTCCCTTCTATTTTTCGCGTTTTCAACCTTTTTTGGAATTTGTACAGAAAACGTCCAAAATGTCAATTTTGACGTTTTGCGTTTTCTTTACAATAAAGAGAACACGTTTTCATTGTTTTCAAAAATCAAAAAGAGAAAATGACTTGAAAACAGCAAAAAGAATAGGACCTAAGCTTTTTTTTATGATAGCAAAATCATCCTTAGTAAGAACAATCCCAATTCCTAAATTGTCAATGTGAAACACATTCCTCTTTATATTTATGAGGACTAACCCAAATGAAAATAAAATTTTAATTTAAAATAAATTAGGTATATGAGATTCACGTGGTAATTTCACATAAATTTTTATAATTTATTGGAGATATTGTGCAATTTCATATCCTTATAGTTAATATAGACTAACGTGATACTAAAATAATATGTTGGAGACCGATAAAGCAGTGCTCACTTTTTAATCTTCATTTCTTCAAGCGGCAGCTCACGCAGTATTTTAATCAAACACTGTATTCTCTCTTCCCGTTTTAATTCCGATGTCAGAAAACGAAAGCCCTTCTTCTCCAGTTCCAACCCAAGACTTGGCCGCGAACCCGATTCCGTTCGACCCTAATAATGATATAGGAGACGTAATCCTACCCGACCCGCTGCTAGATTCTGGCTCTTTCATTGACGCCGGCCAAAATGAGGCTGAACCGGTGACGCCGCCAAACGAGCAGCATCAACCAACTTCCGAGGATGAGCAAGGATCGGGCTCTGGCATTGCTGCGGAGCCGATTTCGGTGGCTGCCCCTGCTGATGGCTCGGCTGGGTCGACTAGGCCGCCCATGAAGAGAAACCTGGAGGAGATGTCAAAAAGGCCGAGCTGGTTGCCCGAGACCTGGACGATAGACTTGAGGGTCCGCTCCTCTGGAGCCACCGCTGGAAGCATCGATCGGGTATCTCTTGCTCTCTAATTCGCACACATATACACTCGCGGACAGACATTATTAAAATTGATCAATTATGTGTTCTTCTTCTTCTTCTTTTTTTGTTTTTTTTTTTGTTTTTAAATTATCAATCGTGTACGTGTTTCATGATAATACTTTTGATTTCCTGTGTGTTCTCTTCGTCTCTGTAATTTCTAGAATAAGTCTGTGTGTGTGCTTTGATAAGTAAAAGTGGAGAATTCTGAGTGCCAGCGGAGATGGATTGAGAATTAAGGTTTTTTCAAAAAAAAAAATAATAATAATAATAAATAAATAAAATAAAATCATTGTCCTGAAAAATTTGATGTCCTCCAAACATAAGTTCTATTAAAATATAATGCTATTTATCAAATGAGACAATGATTGCACTTCAGTATTTAAAACACAACTTATGTAAATTAAGCCGCTGTTTAGCTTCCATTATTTGAAATTTTAATGGTTGGAATAGCATTTTTTTAAGAATGTGTGGTTGCAAAAGAAGAAAAAATTTTGGGATTAAGTGTAATATTATTTTATTGAAGAATTTGTGATTGAAAAGAAGAGATAAAAAAATGAATTATAATTTTAATGGGGACCAAACGGGGGCCAAGTATCATCCGAGTTGTTTATGTGTTTTTGTTCAAGCACGACTTTTTTTATTTTTATTTTTAATATCTCTTTAGTTTACTTGATAGATGTTTTTGCAATGTTCATTTTAGCATTATGTACAACGTTCCTTCAAAATTTGTCAGTTCCTTTAAAAATGTGAATGGCTGCCACATCTGGTTCGAGGGCACAAGAAGTACGTAAATTCAATAAGTTTATCTAAAACTCTTTGACCCCAAATTTGGAGTATCCTACTGTCACGTAATTCACGGGATCAACAAGCAATCAATATTTCACTATCAATGGTGTAATACTCTTTGTAGTATTTGTCCTTATATATCGTAATAACAATCGAAATATGATTGAAAGAAAAAAAAATCTCTATATGAGAGGGCTTGCAAATCCAGCTCACCCCAATAATTCGCAATCTACTATGAGATGGTATAACCCCCTCATCCTTTTGAAATACCCCATACGAAATACGAAGATAAAATTTTCTACTATATCCCTTATTTCCTTGGGATTGTAGTTCAATTGGTCGGGCACCGCCTTGTCAAGGCTGAAGCTGCAGGTTTTTTAGGATAAGAGGACATTGTGTCCATCTTAAGAAAATCTTCAACAACAACGAAAAAGCAAAAACTGTCCCAAATAAGCCCTACATTATCTTCCTTTCTTTGGCCTTGAAGTTTGTCATTTATTTTCTTAGATCCTCCTTTTCTCCAATCTCATAGTTGAAAAATTGCCAAGTGAATGGATAATGAAGAGCACAGACAACGTATGAGATGTTCCATTAGAATCCAGTATTCTTTGATTCAAAATCTATTAGAGGAGATGATAAAGTTCCAGTCCTAGTTTGCATTTAAGTTGAATAGGCAGATTGATGGTATCTGTATAATATAAACGAGTTAATTATTTTATTGGTCACTAAACTTTGCCAGCATTACTAGAACGTCATCGAACTTTACATTGTTTCTCATGTTTATTGAGCTGTTGAAAGTGATACCCATCCACCACTTTAAGTGATTCCATCAAAGAGGTTTCTGACATCCAACTAGACAAATCATGTTTCTAAATGGTCAGCACTTTTTTCTCGTGTTACTAAATGATCGTTGAAATTTATAATGTTTCTCCATGGTCACTGAATTTTTTAAGTTATTATTCGAATCCCTTTTATATATATTGCATAAAGATGCTTCCATATGATTAGTGGAAAGGCCACCATACTGTACTATCTTACTTTCGACAAATCCCAAATTCCACATTCTTTTCAATTTTTATTTTTAAATAATACAAAATGGGTCGGGGTCCCTATCTCCCCCCACCCAACCCCCAAACCAGAGTAGGGGGCAAGTAACCCAACCTGCCAAGCTGACTGGGCGCCTGGGTTGGGGCCCATGGGTTCGGGTTTTCCCCATTTTTTGCCCAATCTAGAATTTAGAATGAGTTCTCTCATGTTTCGGCATCTCCTGCTGTTTTTAACATGCACTAAATAGAGTGTTCAAATATCTAATAGTGATGGGTAATATCAAAGGGGTATTGTGCTTCCTAAATATGAAATAGTACAGGATACTCTTTTGATAAATAAAAGGTAATGATTGTTGTTACAACTAATTACTGCTATGCAAAAATAAAAAATAAAAATAGTAGACTAGATAAATGGTGGCACTTTGAGTTTGAACACCATAAAGGGAGAACTCGGAAAAGAATTTGATTTTTATCCTTATTCTAAATTTTTAAGGTTTTCTGTGAAATGTAAGGGTCCATAATCAAGATTTTGAGTAATTGCTTAGCCCTTATACACTAGTATGACAAAATAAAATTAGGTTGGTTTATAAAATTTGACTGTTTTTAACTTGGAAAACCATTCTACAATGACATTATTGTATAAATCTTCATTTTGTAACCGTGTATACTTTTGTCTTTTGTTTTATGGGATTTCTGTACAGCCCATATCTTTGCCACCCCTATGGAATTTGACTGGTAAAACCCGTTCACTGCTCCGATGAACACTTCTATACAGAGATACAAGTACTCATGGCACATGTTTTGCTATGGTAATGTACCAGACACATGTTGATATTAGATTGATGAATGTAAACCAATTTCTACAGTACGTTGACACACACTGGTAAATGTTGTCCTAATAGTATTTACACGAGCTAGAAAATTGATAAAACTAGTTTAAATGGTAGACCTAGAGAAACATTTGAATCTAAACCTTCGTAGAGTTAACTGAAAATGATTCAATTCTTTGTTTATGAACCTGAATTGAGTTGGTAGAAGAAGGGGATTCATGTAGGTGACCTTAGATAGGCATTAGTTAAAATTGAGTTGGGCATTTGAAAAGGCTGCAAATCCTTCACCCCTTCTTTTTAATCTCTTATTCTATCTTGTTTAACATGTATTTTACATTCTATTAGGTTCAAAAAATAAATGTAGATAGACTTTAGCATAGATGATTATGTTGGATTTGGTCTTTCCAAACAAATTATCTGTAGTTTTTTCATTACAGACATTTTCTGGGAACCATGATGAAAAGTTTATAATGTGGTTATAACATTGCTTTGAGATTTTTCTGTATCTTATGGTCATATGTTGAATTTTCTCTTTCCAAACAAACTATTTGTAGGTTTTTCATTATGGACATTTTCTGGGAACCATAATGAAAAGTTTATAACATGGCTTGAGATTTTTCTTTATCTTAGACTTACATGTTCATCGTGATTGATTTTCTTGCAAATCGGTCAAACTGGTGCAGGATGTAAGTTCATAATATGGCTGATGATGCGATGTTTACTGAGTTCCATAATAGTGATCTGTAATTTCTCCTCTTTTTGCATTGCTACAATATGAAATAAAATAATTCTAGTAAGCACATTTAAGACCATTGTTGAGAAATTTGGCTGCTCTTGCCATTGGATAATTTTCTTACGAGTTATGAGTATAGGGCTGCTCTCTCTCTCTCAATAGTTATGGGGATATGTGGTAGTTCAGTTGCAGATTACTTACCTCCTTGAAGTTGAAGCTTAAAAATATTTGTCCTTCCATTCTCCCTTTAGTCTTGTGTAATTTTTATCTCTTTATTCTTGGAACTCAGATTAATTAGAGCTGATACTCAAATTTATGAGAGCTGATATCATGCCTACCCTGTTTTGTCTTTTTTATCTTGTCTCTACTGCTTTTTCTTGGTCTTGTTGATTGGAGGCTACAAATGTGTCATTGTACAAAATTTCAAATTCGTTTGCTCTTGAAGGGCATAATAGTATTTCAATTGCCACACCACTTTCTAATGAATACGTATAAATGATAAGGTTGTGAAATGTTAAAAAAGAACAATATTTAATGTCTGAAGCTTCTTCCTGTGTTGTGGGCAATATAAATGCACACTTTATGGGAAAAACAGACAATGGAATTCTGATGCAGTATAATGTTCAATTTATTATTGGATAGTTAAATTCAATTTTTGGTCTGTGTTCCTTGCATAATGATTTCGTATCATGTACATGTTTTCTAATACTTGGGGTGAATTACTTTTATTCAATCAGGTTTCTTCATTCTGGTGGCACTGTTTGACTTGCATTACTAATTAAACAGAATCAAATAATGCTTTAGACGTGACAGTATTTTCTGCATTCTGCAGTATTACAGAGATCCATCAGGAAAGAAATTCCGTTCAAAGAACGAAGTGATGCACTTTTTGGAAACGGGAAATAAGATAAAGAGAAAGCCAAATGATGGAGAAGCTACCGTCAGTATAAATGATTTTCTTAATTGGGTCATTTAACTATTTCTACATATTCAACAATGTAACAATTTTTTTCTGCAGCCTTCTAAGAGTCCTGAGAGCAAAAAACCTAAAAAGTCAGCCTCCAAACGCAAGAAGTCTGAGGCATTGAAGTTTGACTTCGAGAATCCGCCAAGTGCTGTCAGCTGGATCTGCACAAATGCTCCTGAAGAGACATGGACTGCCAAGGTTGACAATAAACGGGTGGCTGAATCTCGCCAACGCGAGTGGGCTACTGCATTTCAACATGTCACTCAATCGAAAGCAAATGAACGGTCTTCTAACTGAAGGCAATTTTGTTCTGATTTGCCATATGATGGGGACTGGGCCTGGAACTTATGGTAGTGGATTCTTTGTTTTCCTGCAGTTAGCTCGTACAGAGGTTTTCAGTTTCACCAAACAGCGGCTTTTGATATTGTTTTATATTGGTTAGTCGCACCTCTTCTTAAATTAGGAGTTAGGATGGGGTTATACAGATTGGGGGTTCTTTTTATTTATAGACTTTCGGAAAACTGCTTTTTTAAAACTGTTTAATGTAGTCGCCTGTCTCTGGATTTTTAAAAATAAATGGACTGAGTTTGAATGAAACAGTTTGGTTTATGTAGACAGAAGTTTTATTTATTCATCATATATTAGTTAGGAGGAACTCATTTTCCTACTATGCATGCTGCTTAAGATGGACGAAAATTAAATTTAGGCCTATTAAACCAAAGATTTGAGTCAATATAGCATCAATATCCTGGTTTTCTTGAGCCTTTAGTTTCAGTTTCCTCCAAAATGTAAGATCTTCTTGTCGATATCTTTTTGCTTTTGTTGCAGGTTGAACAAAATCAAGGCAAAAGAAAACCTCTATCGATGCACCAATTTATGAGCTATTAGTATGATTGGGTTGTTTAAGTACTCTTGTTCCCTATAATGTTTGGAGATGTGATCACTATGTTTACAAAATAACTGAATAAAATTTTAGTATTACAAGGTTATGTTGTCCATTAGGACTGAGTAAACTGCTTTGCAATGAGTGATGGTTCTGTATTTTATGTGAATTATGCAACTATGTTAAAGTTCAATATCAAATAGACTGGTAATAAGTACCGGTGAAATTAAATAACATCATGATGATAGTGAACTCTATTTGAGAATGTGAAGTGTGTACTTTTGGTGGATAATGATGGTGTGTGGTGGAGCCCGTCGTTCTTGATGGTGAAAACTAAAGTTTTGAATCACTAGATACTTTGTATTTAGCTCTTGACTCACGGATTATTCCTTACCATGGAGGGTGGCGGGCAAACAAAAATGTTGCTTCGGATGAAATTCATTACACTCACATCTTAGCTTATAAAGATGGGTGTTAAACTCTTTTCTAAACATAGCTCTCGCTAGGTAGCAATTTTCACCCAAAAAAATTGATTTTTTGATTGTGATTTCACTATTTTAATCGTCATTTTTGACTTTTCACTATAGAGGGGATTTATTTTCTTTTAACGATCAAAAAATCAATTCTTATAATTAGTAACGAGCACGCCCTAAATAACTGATGGCTCAATTCTATGTTGTACATAAATATCAAACATTTGATTTTAAGAAAAATGAATAAAATATTTTAGACGGGTCACACAATACGTTGCATGCAAATGACACGTCTACTCTGAACTGTCACGTCACGTTCCGGGCAAACTGCCACCTTTCGACCCCTCCGAACAAACATCCTAAAAAGCAACCGAAAAGCCAAAGAGAGCAAATCAAATACGAAACTTGTTGAAGAGTTTTAGTTTGATTCCGTGCTTTACTTTTTAATACTCCTCATGTATATTCCACTTCTAATTTGAGTGTAAAAGACTGAATTCGTTTATAAACTTGAACTAGAAATGGGTGATGAGAGCGAGAGAAGTGAAAGGTCATTTCCAAGAAATATGTCTGAAATTCCCATGACGATTTCTGTGGCAGAAGCGTCATCAATATTTCCAGGGTTTCGGTTTTCGCCGACAGATGAAGAATTGATAGAGTATTATTTGAAAAAGAAGCTTATGGGATCTGATAAATGTGTCGAAATCATTCCTGAGGTGGATATCTGTCGGCACCAGCCTTGGGACTTACCAGGTTGGTTCTTCTTCTTTCTCATATAATATACTGCGGATATACATTGAAACCGAAACTCTCTTAAATATATCTGAAATTCATCCTTTCTATCTTTATAATAAAATTTGGAAACTTTATGAAATTTTTTGACCAAAATATTTGGCAACTAATTAGAGTTTTCACTTTGTGGGCCTATGTCATTTTTTTTT